AACAGGCATTGTCTGTTTCACATGTGGACAACATCCCCAGAAGGCCATTGGGAGCAAGGAGAGGGCTTGCTTTTCTCAGCCTTAGTCTTCTTTCAGTGCTTTCTGTTGGCCAGCCCCGCCGTGTGGTCGGGTGCACAGGTGGATGTCAGTCGCCTGCTCTAAGCTTGAGGCTCTGGCTGAGGGCAGCACTGTTTACAGCCTTGGGTGAACCATGTAGTCCCTGGGCTGGTCCTGTGCGCAGAACACGTGCTGTTGGCTTCTTAATTCTGAAAAAGAGAACATTATTGCCTTTCCCACCCAGTTGACTAGAACCCACCCTATAAAATCCCTGGCCCCTGGTGTAGCCTCAGCTCAGATTCTGGACAGTCTTTACTCCAGCTCTGAGCTTGTTTCCCACTCGGCTAACATGCTTTCTGCTGCCTCCCCAGAGCTGTCCCTGCACTCCTGCCACACTTGGGTCATGGGATTGGTGATATCCTACCCCCCCGCCTCCTGGGCAGCAGCATTTGCTCCCTCTGGGCTGTTCTGTGCTGCACAGGAGTGGGGGAGTGGTCTCCTCCCTGGCTTTTAAGGTGCCAGGCACATGCCAGTGGCCTTCTAGAAAAGACCCTCTCTGCACAAACTCCCCAAGACCCTAAGTGGGCAGTCACTCCCCACTGAGGGAAGAGGGTGGTGAGTCACCAAGTGAGCGTCAGTTCCCGCCCACGTCAGGCCGGCCCTGCTCCCTGACCGAGGCCACCACTGCTCAGTGCCCCAGTTTGGGGATGAAGTGGTGATGGAAGCGAGTGGATCCTCAGAGAGACACCTCTGTGACAAATCCAGATTTTAAGAAACTGCTCAAAAGCATTTCTCTATTGGCTCTGTAGGTTGCCCTGTTAGGAGAGTACCACTGTATGGCCTTTATATTTGAAGTATGTTATTTCAGATTACATTTCTTTTCTAATGAAAGTCACCTACAGACTTTTTCGTTTATTGAATAATTTGCTTTGGGGACCTTGCTGTCACTGATCCAATAGTTTAGAGGATCTGTAGTCACAGTTTTGAGACAAAAGGTGTCGTTTATTAGAACAAAGACACAGAGCTCCCTGGGACACCCATATGTGTGCACACACAGTGGAGACCCATGCCCAGCAGGCACCAAGCCAGACACATGACCCAAAGTGTCACTATGTTATCGGTTAATGCGCCTGTTTTTCTTAACAAGGAAAGAGTCTTGATTATTTAGAACAAACAAAAGAAAAAACTAAAACATGCTTCGTGGAGCATTGCACGTGTTGATGTCAGTCACCCTCTGAACTTCAGGTCACCACGTGGGTCGTGGGCCAGGCACCCACTCCAGGCTTCCTTGTGTAGGCTTCACAGCCCCATGGAGAGGGCATACCACATGTCAGGTTCTCACCTGCTGTTTTGTAGATGAAGAAGCAGAGCAGGGAGGTGACCTTTGCGGGAACACAGTATAAGATGAACTGATAATTGGGCCATTTTTCTACTGCCCACTTATTTTTTAAGCCACATTTTGTGTAAAGTGACTCATGACATTCTAGTCCAAAAATGGAGCCAGAGAGTTTTCTGCTAACTCAGCAGCAAGCTCACATTCACCTGGGTTCTTTGGACAAGTCAGCCTTCCCTACTCTCATGGGATTACTGAGCCATTGTTCAAGCTACAGAAGGAATTTCTAGATCTTATGCCTCCTACTGTCACATTAACCTTCAAACTTAACCTTGAGTCTTCCAAACTGGAGCTGATTCTTTCTCCACTATTAGGCAAAAATGTTCAAGATTATTTATTATAGAGATTTGATGAAGAGGATTTAAAGGTATGAAATAAAAGTAATGTTAACTTTCCTCTAAATGTGCTATTTGTCTTTCATCACCTAGTTAGATGAAGAAAATGAAGTTAAGCACAATGTATAATACTGTGCTTTTTAAAATGACATTTCAAAAGTTGTAAGATAAATATTTAGAAATTTTTGGAAATAACGAATGCCACAAAGCAAAGAAAACCAACTGCCAGAGGTACTCACTGCCGAACTTGAAACAGTTTTAAATTTAAGCATTTTTTATAACTTGCAGCCTTGAGAACCGAGCCTGTCTGTGAACACAGTAGACAATCTGACCCACTCCAGCAGAAACTCGAAGCTCAGTGAAACAACTACTGCTTGTGTCTATTACTTTCAAGTAACCAGATTTTGAAAATTGAAGAATTTCCAAAAATTCTTTGTCTACCATTCCTTGATACCATAGTGGTCTGGAAGCTCGCTCTGTGTCTAAGTGGATGCTTGTCATAGGGACTCTTGTAACACAGAACATCAACTCCTCCTGCCTGTTGTTCAGTAGAGGACCTTGGACACGGGTCTGTTTTTACAAAAATTTCAGGTTAATTCTTCACCATGTCAGTTAAGGGTAAGCATATTCTGTGATAACCTAAAATTCTGAAGGCATCTGCCTTTTATCCAGGTGCTCTAATGTGCATCGTGAACACGGGCAGGATATTCCGAGGCAAGGGAGCGCTCATCTTACACCCCTCACATCATCCCAGCAGGCTGGGGCTACCCCAACATCACTTCTGGAGAGACACCTGCCGAGACGCGGTCCACGCTTGTTTCTTGGTGTGGAGTGTGTGTCAGCGACACACACAGTGGAAAGATTGGCCACATAGGTAGGGCATGGGTACACGATGTACACTCAGACAACCTGGGTATAGATGGGTCATTTGCTTGAAAAAATATCTCCCCACAGATTTGTTGGCTTTATCTTGTAGGATCTGTGTTTACATAATTGGAAGGAGGTGGTATGACTTACAGCATTGTGCTGTAGCTGACAGATTTAATAAAGTGTTTAATGGCAGTTTGTGGTACTTTTTAATCTGTTCACTAAATTGTGAGTTGACAATTTTTGTGAAATAATAAGTATCTACAATGCTAACATCAAATGATGACTTTTAACCTTCCAAATGAGCAGTCCGTCCTGAAAGGGTTCTCTCTCTTTTATCAGTTCTTCACAGAGGGGCTGTTTACTGGGCTGCATTCTCTAATCTGACAGCTTTACTAGCCCACACTGGCCAACATAGCAGAGAGCTGGTCACCCCATCTCCTCAGCTTTCTCCTGCTATTGAAAAATAAAGTCAAGTTTTGCAGCAACTTTTTGGTGAATTACCAACTAGTATTGCTATGGGACTGCCCATCTCCAAGGGAGGTGCTGTGTGCAGTGCTGGTAGACAGGAGAGTAAACAGTGACCTTGTACTTCCTTTCACAGTCAATGAGCATAAAATATCTTGACTCTCACACCTTGAACAATACAATTGTGAAGAATAAATAGATCAGTTATTAGTCACTTCTAGAGTTTTTTCTAAAATTTCAATGTGTGAAGGTATCTCATAATGCAATTTTGGGCTTATTAGGGACAAAAGGGTTTTGGAGTGCAAATCCTAAGTAGCTCATCTTTGGACACATGCCTCTTCTCCATGTGAAAAGTAACTGTGCCCTCCATTCGGGCTTGGGCCCTTCAAAACTTACAGAGTCCACCCGGCCTGGTGTGAGAGAAGGGGTATAGAAATTTTGTTATTTTAAGGTGGCTTAGCATATTTTAAATGTAATAAAAGCAAATTCTAATAAACTGGTTGTTAATTCCATATCTTATTTTGTCCAGGTCTTCTAATGTGAATGGGTGTTTCATCATGTTTTAAATCTGTCCGTTGTGAGAAATTCCAGAGGTAACTGCCGTCCTGGCTTTGGTAATTAATTCATCGCTGGAAGCACTCGGTGGCATCCCAGCTCCAGATCTGTCAATGTGAAAATAGGGCCCCGCCAGCCCGCCGCTGCCTGGGACGGCTACTGACTCTAGTTCAGTTGCTTATGACTGTCCAGGGAGCAGGAAACAGGTGTGTCGGGTGTTCACAAAACTCCTCTACACCTGTCTACACACTCCCATGTTTTGGGCTAAATAAGCCAAGCTTTGGTTTTATAAGCTGGTCACTATAGGTGACTGCATCTGAAGTTGTTAGTGGTAGTGTTAGAGGATCTTGCTTTAAGCCATTGTGTAGGGAGTGGGCAGCCACCATGGGCTTGAATTGAGTTATTTCTATCCCAGCATTTTGTAAACTGACTTAATTAGTTAGAAATAATGGTAGTTTGAGTGATAAAACATTATACATTTGGAAACTTAAGGTAATTGTCTATCTTAAGGAGCTTTTAAACAGCAGTTACATTTTTTGTTAAAACTCTGCTTTAATGGTATCTTTAAAATTCGGCATTTAATAGTAATTGTTTTCCCACAGAGGAGAAAAAAACATTAGAAGTAAACCTTTAAGAATTTTTTTTAAATAATGGATAAGAGAATTTTTTATTACAAAATGTATGATAGAATATACCTCATCATTAGCCTTTTTAGAACTACGTAGGCCAAAATTTTGGTTTCTGTCTAATCAAAAGCGAACATTTAAAAAGGGGGGAAATTTAACTATTAATTACTTTTGTGTTATAATTCTAGAAAACCAAAATAAAACCTTTGTTAATGGAAAATTCAATTAAGTAGAAAACAATATAATGAGTTGTAATTTTATATGATCAGATTTTTAACTGAATGATTGATGAGTTTGGCATTAAAATAGACATTTTCTTCAGATATGTTGGCATCAGTTTGGTATGTCTCTAACACATACACAGAAGGTGCTCCTCCCTGTCTGTCCTGCTTCACATGCTTGTGCTGCTGATTTTATCTCTAGAGCAAAGAGAAAGCCCTGGAACTGTACAGCCCAGGGGTCTAGGCGCCTGTGGTTGGTGTCTGTGAAATCGGATTGGTCAGCCAGCAACCTTTTCTCATGTTCACTTTATGTCACGTTGAGAACTGCATGTGGTAGCGTCTTTACTTACAGTTTCCAGAAAGTGCCGAGCAGCAGTGTAAGGCTAGTGTCGGCTAACGCCTGGTAAGAAATGTGGTGTCTGGCCGCATCCTGGCCCTTCTCATTTCTCACTCCATCCCCCGCCCTGTTCAATTCCAGGCCTTCCCATGGACAGTCCTCAGCCTTCTCCCTCCACCCGGAAGAGCCCACTGAGCCTGAGCCCTGTATTTCAGGTGACGCTGGGCCCAGCTGAGCGGGGCTCGTCCCCACTCCTGAGCCCTGTCCTTAGCGACGCTGGCGGAACCAGGATGGACGATGAGGAGGAGCCGAAACACAAGGTGGGCACCGCCCCAAGCAGAGGGCTGGGTGCTGGTGGGCCTGGATTTGCAAACTTCTCTCTGGGCTGGGAAGCCTGTGGGCAGAGCAGAACTGGGCTCTATGCCTACACAGCCCTCCCTCCCAGGCCTGCTGAGGGAACGATGGTGAGCTGGCTTCCCTAGAGAAATCTTGTCTTGAGGTCCTCCTGTCCTTTTGGGGACTTTTTTGGGACCTTTGTAACAGTACCTGGCACCTATGGGTTCTGAGTGTTGGGCTGGGTCCTGGGGATGTGGCAGAAAGGGGCAGGCCCTGGAGGAGCCCTCAGCCCAGCAACCGGGAGGAGGTCTAATGCACAGAAAGGGTTTGCTGGGTGGGGACCAGTCTTGTCTGGAATCAAGGGAGTCACAGGCTGATGTATGAGTGGGTCCTGGAGTGTCATTGCAAGGGGAGGGAAGGGATGGGGTGGATTTAGGGTAGAAAGTGGGGGTGATCCCAGGGACAGGAGTGTGGCAGGTGCGGAAAGGTAGGGTAGAAAGCTCATGGTTCAAGGACAAGGCGATGGCCAGAGGCATTGGCACCCCTGGCCTCGTGGCCACTTCCACTCTTGTGGCCCTGGCCTGCAGCGGGGGCCATGTCCTGGGCAAGGAAGCCAGGGCAAGTTGGCTTTGCATGTGAGCACATGAGGAAGGCAAAGGGTCCAGGGAATTTGACATTTGGGGAAGAGAGTGGTTAAAATAATGGGCTGTGGACTGTGTGGCCCTGGGGGCCATGGAGAGGGAGAAGCCAGGAACCATCTATCTGTTTCCCTGCACCTAATGGAGGCCCCTGAGGTGCACACCTGAAGGAAGCGTGTTGAACTGGGCCCCAAGTGGTGGGACCCCTGCCTCGCAGGTGCCTGTCATGTGGACAGCTGTCATCAAGAACACCTTAGCACTCGTGTGTTTCCTCCTGAATTGGCCAAAAAGTATGTTACTTCCAGGGCCACCTGAGCTGGACCCATGAGGTTCCTCAGCAAGGGGGCTGCAACTCCTCCAAGGATGGGGAGGCCTCTGCAGACGTCTGTCCTTGTGCCGGGTCCCCGGGCCCTCTTCAGTGACAGCAGCCCTGGAATGGAAGGCCTGCTGTTCATGAGGTGTGGGTGCCGGCTGGCTTCCAGCCTAGGACGCCCCCCTGGTGGTTGGGGCTTTGCAGCCAGTCCCCAGCCCTCAGGCCTCCATCTTGGCCATGTTGCTTTGGTGCCGTAACAAAAATGGCTTTGGAGGAAAGCTGTTTAAAAAAACTAAATTTTAATTTGTCACTTTCTGTATTAATAAAATAGCTGATCTTTAGGTGGTGATCTGTAGGGTGATGACCCCTGACACCTGACACTTGAGGTTAATTGGGCTAACAGAGGTGTCTATGGCCTTCGTTATCTAACCAGGCCTCTGAGAGAAGGGACATGGTCGTCACAGTGCAGCCACCTCACACAGTGCGCCCGCTCCCTCCCCTCACGCTGCCTCCTAATTCCCGGCCACGTGGCCACGGGATGCTGCGTGTCCCAGGCTACATGTAAAAGCAGCATCAAGCACAGGGGGCCCCGAGGGTGGCAGGACACACTTTCTTCACCTCTGCCCCCTGGGTCACCCCAGTGAGTGACTAGCTGTGTTCTGTGCTGGTTTTGTGAACCAGCGTCCCCAACAAGGCCCCGGTCCCCAGGTTCACTGATGACTCCCCAGTGGGACCTGGGCAGTTTTGGGGTTCCTCAGCTTCACAAACAAACGCAGGGGTTGGGAATCTGGGTGTGGCCAGGGCGTTCACGTCTGAGCCTCCCTCAGGACCGCCTGTCCCTCAGGAGATCCGTGTGGCTTGTTTTCACCAGCATCTCCCACTTAACGCGCTGTTTCTCCTCCTTTCTAATAGAAATTGGTGAGGACCAACAATATTCGAAAGGTATGAAAGCTGAAGGTGGCTGGTGCCTCTTACAGGTGATTGTGTGGGGCTGAGAGAAGGGCCACAGCACCACGCTCGGGATCTCAGCTGCTTTCTGCAGGGCAGGTGGCAGAGCTTGGCAGGAAGCACAGTCCCCTCCCGGGCACCCCCCCCCCAACCTCCCAGCCTACGGCAGAGGTGTGGGTGGCTGCTTTACCTTCTCTCCACTGAGGGATTCCTGAGAGGTTTCTTTGCCCTAGAAATGGGGGTCAGCAATGGAAATGGGGGCCAACCTGGCCCCTGACCTTCCTCCTCAAACTTGTCACCGGCATGGTTCAGAGGCTTTTTACTTTGGCTGAGGCCCACAACTGCAGTCATCCTTGCCTCCTTTGTCCTTCACACCTCCACCCACACCAGAACTGGACCCTCCGTGTATCCAGGGCCCCACCCCTCCTCCTGCCATTCCCCTTCCCAGGGTGGGAAGAGGCCTCCTGAAGAGCCCCGGCCCTTCCCAGCCTGCGTCACCCCAAAACCCCTCCCTGCCTTCCCTGCCAGTAACCAGCTTGCTGCACCTCTTCCCCCTCCCCCTTGACCTCTGACCTGTGTCCCACGCCCAGCTGCCAGCCCCGCCCTCTCCCTGGAGGCTGTGGCTGCCTCACCCCTCCTGCTCTGCTTTGGGTCCAGAGGACTTCTCTCCTGTGCTGGGAACTTCCCCACTAGTCAGTGTCAGGCTGCTTGTCTCCTTCCTGCTGAGAGGCTGTCCGCTCTGTTCCTGGGTCCATCTCAGGTGCCTCCTTGGGGCTGGCATGTGCTTCACAGGCATTTTTGTATGGCAGACGTGAAGACAGTTGGCCTCTTAGAGATCTCAGCCTGGTGGAGGACAACACAAGGGCGCAGGGCTAGAGCAGGACCAGGTGTCGTCCAGCCAGGAAGGATGGAGAAGGGATCATTGAGCCCAAGCGTGAGGCCTGTGCTTTGCCGAGAGCCAGGCATGGTGGGGCCCAAGGGCACAGGGCCACCCTTTCTGCTCCGAGGGTCCCATCACTGCTGACTGGCCTGCCGGCACCTGCATGTCGGGCAGAGGCCCTGATGGGGTTTAGAGCTCCAGCGCTGGGCATCTCGGGCCCTGCACTCAACACGTGCTGGCCTCCCGGTGCTCTCACACAGGGCACCGTTAGGATGTAGACCTTTGGCAATCGTAATAACTTATTTGTGAGTTAGGCTTAACAGTTATCATTACATGTATACATATACACACACTCTCATGTCTGTGTGTTCAACAGCTATACTCCTGGCAGTGGTATCTGAACAATAATTTTATCGCAAAACCAATAATTAGCTTCAATATGTTGATGTTTGAACAGCAATTCTTTTCTCAAAAAGAATAACATACAATGAGAAAAACATGTGAAGGAGAAACAATAGGCTTATATTTTTACTCAGAGGGGAATGTCTTCAGGAATTATGGACAAAAATCGTGTGAGAACGTTAATCTGAGCAGGAGAAAGCGAGGGTTGCGCATGTGGCCTGTCTGTGGCGTATCCAACAGGCACGTGCTCACCATCTGCGCCTCTTGCAGGGCACGGGCGCCGACGAGGCCTACTTCATAGCGAAGGAGATTCTCGCCACAGAACGCACATACCTGAAGGATTTAGAAGTTATCACTGTGGTATGAAAACGAAGTCTTTTATTACTTTGATTTTCTTAATATTTCTTAATTCTAAACCAGAGACGGAAGAGCCCTTCTAAGAAATACCTCTCAGCCATCATGAGATCTACCTGTACATGTTCTGTGAAACACATTTAAACAATGTCTAAGTCGGGTCAGAATATTGGGTCTGTTTTTTCATAAAACTGGGACTGTAGCCACTTGAAGCTTTTCACCAGAATTGTTCTCGTGTAATATTGGGAAAATTTGGTGGCCAGTCAAGAGGAAGCCATGGCATGTGAGCTGTCCTCAGGGGGACTCTGGGTCAGCGCAGGCCCCTGTGGCCGCAGCCCCGGGGTGATCCCTCAGTCACCCGAGCTCTGCTCTTCCCGCAGTGGTTCCGAAGCGCCGTGGTCAAGGAGGACGCCATGCCTGCGGACCTGATGACGCTGCTCTTCTCCAACATCGACCCCATCTACGAGTTCCACAGGGGCTTCCTGTGTGAGGTGGAGCAGAGGCTGGCACTCTGGTAATGCCCAACCCCGTCCCCGCCCCCGCACACACGGCCACCCCCGCACACGCGGCTGCCCCTCGTCACCACCACTGCTTTCAGGAACCTCCCAGCTTCAGACGCTAATTCACCAGAGTCATTACTTCATTGAAGTCTATTTTTAAAAAGTGTGAGGAGGAGTAGACAATAATAATCACTTTTATTCATCCTACTTCAGAAGAATGAACAAAGTTGGTTAAAAGTAGATGATTATTTTTTTCCTAATTACTGTCTTTTAGAGAATGGCCCACGAGTAAAGATGCTTCTGTCAGACACAGGCCTCCACCTCCAAGGAGCTCACTGATGTCCTGGCCGTGCTGGGACGGCTGGCCCACGAGATCAATCAGCGTGGATCTCACAAGCCTTCCTGAGGTTTGATTGTATTTGTCCATCTCTGCTCCAGGGAAGGACCTTCCGGTGCCCAGGCCCCAGGCAGCCACCAGCGGATCGGGGACGTCCTGCTCAGGAACATGCGCCAGTTAAAGGTAGCGACTCCGGGCGAGCACCTGCCGTGCAGCACAGTGTGCCCTCAGGACCGGTTCCCTGGAACAGCACTCACCTCAGAGCTGCTTCCCCTAAGGACAGTGTCCTCCCCTAACAACACCCCTTCACAGGAGCGCCCCTCATTCCTCTAAGAACGGCATCAAGTCAGGATGGAATTCCCTCGGAGCAGCGATCCCCTGGGAGCATCATCATTCCCGGTGCCCAGCCTTCCCTCCGAGCAGCACTCCGTCAGGACAGGCCTCCATTCAGAGCTCCTTCCTCTAGGAACCAGGCCCCGCAGAGCAGCCTCCGGGGAAGTGTGCTGGGAGCTGGCTCTCTGGCAGCTGCACTGGACTCACCCGGGACATGAGCCCCGGGCCCAGGTGCCGTTGTTGCTGAGCTTGCTGAGCTCCCGCCTGGACGGGGCGTGCAGAGCCTGTCCAGGGGTTGTTAGGGTTTGCGTCCACTCTCCTTCTGGGCTCATAGTTCAGGGGTTTTTCTTCAGAGGCATTAGAGTTTCGTGGAAAGGATTGGCTGTAGGTCACCAGGTCAGCAGCACGGAGGAAGCAGAGGCCTCCTGAGGGCCGGTCACCACAGGCGTTGGAACCAGCGGCTGTGCTTTCACTGCACAGGGTCCTGCTCTTGCTGAACAGATGGATGGGCCTCTCCCGCCCATGCATCTGTCCTGGGAGCTCTCGCATCCAGCCTGAGACTCTGGGGGCCCTCCCCCCGCCGTCTTCTACCCGCTTGCATGGCTCCAAGTCCCCAAGCCTTCGCTGTCGTGCCCATTCACTGGGAGGCGGGCACCTCCATCCCAAGCCTGTCCCACCTCCACCCAATCCGCCCAGACTCCTGAGGTCCTTCCGGCCCATTCCGCTCCTAGACACCTGAGGGGCCGCAGGCTCGCTTACGCTGTCTTCAGAGAGCCCTGCGTGAAGAGCTCCATTCTGCCCAGAGCCCCATTTTTTACCCCCACACATTTTTTGGTTTTCTGAGCCAGGTTCATTAATAAGTGTTATCTATCCCAAAGCCTTACAAAAAAATTATTTCAAAATATATATAAATCTGTTTGATTGAGCTTATACCACACAAGTCACATGTAATGTTCATTAAAACAAACTGATTAAATGTTAGAAACTTCTAGAAGGTAGGGACCAGTTGAGTTTACTATGACTGAAACACTGCCAGCCCGTACATGTATGCACGTGGTGCTGTAACAGTGTCAGGAGTGACCCTCCCTCTCTGGCAAGTGGGTTGAACACACTCTGCCTGCTCTGGAGTGTGGCTGGCGCAGCCTCTCCGAGGAGGAGAGCTCCCTGCTGGCACCTGAGGCAGGTACAGCCCTCAGCCTCAGCGCTTCATCTGCAGAGTGAGGTGACGCCTGTGGTCCCCCGCCACACACACACACACACACACATGAGGTTTGAGGGCAGTCGGCAGCGCAGGGGTGGTTTCGCTGTGGACAAGCCGCTGCCCTCCTGCTGGCGTGAGGTTGGGTTGGGGTGGAGTCTCCGTGGGGCAGGATGGACCCCAGGGGGCTGGAAACCCAGCTGACACGCCCTGGCCGTTGTCCTCTGTTCTGCCCCATTGGGATTTCCAGCCTGTGTGTGACGTCCACACAGGGAGCCATCCAGACAGGAAGCCACTCCCCAACCGGACGCCCTCTCAGGTCCCTGACCTAACGAGCCCCTGTTGTGCCTCCACAGCAGTTCACCGGCTACTTCCAAAGGCACGACGAGGTCCTGACGGAACTGGAAAAGGCCACCAAACGCTTCAAGAAGCTAGAGACCGTGTACAAAGAGTTCGAGCTCCAGAAAGTCTGCTACTTGCCTCTCAACACGTTCTTGCTGAAGCCCATCCAGCGACTGGTGCACTATCGCCTGCTGCTGCGGCGGCTGTGCGGGCACTACGCGCCCGGGCACCACGACTACACCGACTGCTGTGGTGAGTGGGGCTGCCATGCCGGGCTGAGGGAGGAGCAGCGTTGGCAAACCTGCAGGCTTCGGCTCCCTTATTTGGGAAGCACAGGGTGTGTGCTCTCCCCTCCCCAGGGGCCAAGTCTGCAGCGGGCAGAGCTGGCACTGCTCACCCTCCTCCCCAGCTGACGGAGGCCAGCGGGCCCTGGGTCTGCACAGGCCAGTATGCCCTTCGGCCCCACTGCCCCAGCAAGGCCTTGCCCTGCTCCAAATCTGAACCATGAGTGAAGGGATCCAATCGTCCTGGAGGAGCTCCTCCTGTGCCGTGGGGGTGGGATGACCCTAGAGCAGCCGTGGGCAAACTACGGCCCGCGGGCCGGATCCGGCCCGTTTGAAATGAATAAAACTAAAAAAAAAAAAGACCGTACCCTTTTATATAATGATGTTTACTTTGAATTTATATTAGTTCACACAAACACTCCATCCATGCTTTTGTTCCGGCCCTCCGGTCCAGTTTAAGAACCCATTGTGGCCCTCGAGTCAAAAAGTTTGCCCACCCCTGCCCTAGAGTGACCTGCTACCTGGAGGTATTTCTGTTCTGCAAGCCTTGACGCTAAAACTCAAACATTTGGTCCAGGGTGGCTGTTAGAAGTTTTTGTCATAGACAGACTTTATCATTTTTGTGTGTTAAAGGAACAAAAGAATAAACCCTGACCTTTTTAACCTACAATATCACCTCTAGTTGTAGGATAAATTTAGTGCAGGAAGTTACTCTCCATAGGAAGGTTTTTACAAGTGAATTCACCATCATCGTTACAAGTAAAAGATAAAAGACTGGCACTACTTCTCGCTGGTCTCCCATAGTCATAAATGGGTATAATTAAGATGCTTTCTGCTGAACGAGAAACAAAATGGATCATATGTTGTTGACAAATCTCTTCTTCATTCTAAAAGCAAGTGTTTCGTGTTTGCTACAAAGGAAAAGACAAAATTGTCAAAAATATTTCCAAGCATTTTCAGGGAAATAAAGTGCAGCAACATTAAAAATGCTGCCATGCTGGCCTCTGTCAGTCTTTTCCTGTAAGGGGTGGGCAGTGCTAGGGGGAGAGGGTGGCCCCTCTCCAGGTCATCGGGGAGGCCATGCCCATGGAGAAGGCCGGGCGCCCTCACTATTCAGGTTCCTCATCAGTCAAACCGTCTCATGGGCTAATGCAAAAGCCAAATGAGGCTGCACTTCTGAAAGTGCTTTGTAAATTGTTGACGCAACATGGTGCCAACAACTGGCACCTGGACGGGTTTGCTTCAGCCGTCTCCGGAGGGCTCAGCTGATGGAGTCCCTTCCCACCGCGACCCACCCTCCCACAGGGCCAAGGAAGAAGGCCCCTGGGCTGTAGATGTTACCAGCCCTTTTGGTCTTCACAGGAGTTGAGCTTGAGCCTGTTGGACAAAAGGAGGTACCCCTAGCTTGGGACTTAAAGAAGATGGCCTTGCATCTTAATTTTATCCTTCATTCAGTAAGGGTTTCCCAAGGACTGTGCCTGGGCTGGCCAGGTGCTAAGTGTGCACTGATGGTTTGTCAACATCACGCTGGTTCTGTGGAGACCCAGGCATGGGACGGTGCTGTGTCCAGCAGCCCTGCATCAGGTCCGGAGCACATCCCCAGCATCTGGCAGCTTCTAGTTCCAGCCCAAGGGCAGCCAAGCTTCCACCCTGCACTCCATGCACACATGTCCAAGGGCAAGGTGGCACTGGGTGCCATCCAGGGCAGACACAGACACGTGGGGCCAGGCAGCCTGCAGTGAACAAGCAAAGTGAAGAGTCTTTACCAACAGTGTGTCACTCAGATCTGAGCTGGGCCCTGAGGGCTGGCAAGGCCAGAGAGGGGCCAGAGCTCAGCAGTCTGCACAGAGCAACTCCAGGTGTCCACCCTGTGTTAGCATCACCAAGGCTCTTATAATGGGTCATTTATGAGTGAGTAATTCGTCTCCCCAGGTGCTTCCTTATCTGACTTCATCCTCCTAAAGCTCTGGGGCAGGTATTGTCCCCTCCACTGAAGAGGGACTGAGCCAGCACTCACAGACCTCCATTTACCAGACTCACGGAGCTGGAGCTGAGAAGGCGCAGAGTTGGGTGGGGTGGATGTCACCTGTGCTTCTTGGGACCTCGAAGGGCAGTGACCAGGCAGTCCGCAGGGTTCTCATGAGAAGCTATCAGGCCCCCATCAGTGGTGGAGACCAGGGGACAGGAAGATGTGGTCACTGCATGTGGGGTTGGGCCTGTCTGGCCAACAGCTGCTCCCAGTGTCCTGGTCAGGTCTCTGATGACCACTCAATATCTGAGGTTGTGTTTCGTCTGAATATGTTTTCCTTCCTGATTCTAAATTTTCATAACTTGGCTTGAACTATAAGATTAGCATCTGCACCTCCATTCAAAGAGAAAATTACTAATACTTTGAAGGTGCAAATTATTTAGACTTTAAACTACAGCAAATGATTTTCCCTAAAGAACAAATACTGCCTTGCCTGTAACATTAGTTATTTACAAAGAAAGGCTGTTCTTTCTCTTGACCACATCTGAGTGTTGGCTAGTCAGTAGTTTGGGCTGAACAAATTCAAGTTGTGGCTCATCTGCAGGAACCTACACTTGTGCCTTAGCTATGGGTAGAGTTTGAGTGGAGTGTTCCTTGAATTAAAACGGCTTTTTAAAATTCCAGTTCTGGCCCAGCCAGCGTGACTCAGTGGTGAGTGTTGACCTATGACCCAGGAGGTTGCAGTTCGATTCTGGTCAGGGCACATGTCTGGACTGCAAGCTCGATTCCTAGTGGGGGGCGTGTAGGAAGAAGCTGACCAATGATTCTCTCTCATCATTGATGTTTCTGTCTCTCTCTCTTCCCTTCCTCTCTGAAATCAATAAAAATATTTTTTAATAAAAATAAAATGCTAGTTCTGCCCTGGCCGCTGTAGCTCAGCTGGTTGGAGCATCTTCCCATACACCAAAAGATGACTGGTTTGATTACCAGTCAGGGTACATACCCAGGTTTCGAGTTCGATCCCCAGTCAGGGCAAGTATGGGAGGCAATTGATGGATGTTTCACTCTCGCATCCATGTTTCTCTCTCTCCCTCTCCCTTCCTCTCTCATCTAAAATTGATAGAAGCATGTCCTTGGGTGAGGATTTAAAAAATAAAATGCCAGTTCCGGTCACAAAGTGGTGCTGGCGGGGGAACAGGGTTGTCTGTGCCACCCCTCACCCACCTGCCTAGGTGCCTGTACTGAGGGGTCTCTTCACACAGACGCCCTCCAGGTCATCACGGAAGTGACCTCCATACTACAACACAGCCTCGTCCGACTGGAGAACCTCCAGAAGCTGACAGAGCTGCAGCGGGACTTGGTTGGCATAGAGAACCTCATCGCTCCAGGCAGGGTAAGTGACTCAGAAAGTTCTTTGCGCTGGTTACTTCATTGTTTTGGTTGAGATATAATTCACATACCACAGAATTCACCTTTCAACGTGCGCAACTCAGTTTTTCTCCATGTGGAACTCATGGCTTCATCTCTATGGCTGAACTTTCTAGAAGCTTCTCAATAAGAGCAGCACGCTTTGCTTTACATGACGGCCTTAGTGTAGCCAGCCTGCTGTAAGGTGCTCAGCAGATGGTTTGGAGACTGAGTTAATTGGCACCCAGACAGGCCCCGGGGGACCACGAGGAGCAGACAGGAAGGAGGAAGGCAGAAAGGTGCGGAGGGTCCTTGAGCATCTGGGCGGGAGGGCACTGGTGAAGGGCTGGATGGGGCTGTGAGGGGCTCATCCAAGGGCTCAGAGAAGCAACATGGTGACATCAGCCAGGCCCTGGCCCCGCCAGCGTGCTATCTGCTGAGGCGGCTGTGGGCCCACACAATGCAGACCTCATTGCTGTCTTTCAGGAGTTCATCCGTGAGGGCTGCCTGCACAAGCTCACCAGGAAGGGCCTGCAGCAGAGAATGTTCTTTCTGGTAGGTGGATGGGCAGCAGTTGTGTTAGGGGGACTATGCCAGCGCGTTGGGCCAGGTGGGCAGCCTCAAAGTCAGGAGCCATGTGAGGGTCACAGAACACATCCAGGCCAGTTGCCATCCTGATTCTGTCTGTGGATGAGCAAAGCCAGCGCATAGAAAATTCCACGTGCCTGTGGCTGCAGGGATGTCCGTCCTGCCGAGCTGCCAGCTCACAGGATCTTGCTGTCGGGCTTTGACTCTGGGAGCTGAGACCCTCCCAGCCAGTCCCTGCTGCCACCAGCTTTCCTGTCATCCGCTTCTTCCTCACATCCAGTTAGATCCAGACCTCAGCATCCTGTATGAGGGGTGACTGGGCCAAGGACGTCTGCTGGTTTGTGTGGTTACTAGTTACTTCTAGTCAAAAACAATTGTATGAATGAAGTAAAAATCCCTTTTGCGCCAAAAATCTCCAGCAAGCTGAATAGATTTGATAACACCATCAAGCCCTTGGAGTTGAAGTTCATCTGACAGTTAAAACCCTGTTACTTGTTTTTTAAATGATTTATCTAAAGCTGCCTGGCTCAGTTCTCAGATATGTTGCTGTACACAAGCAGAGGTGTCTCGGGAACCAGCCACTTCCGGATCCGGGGCCTCCTCCCGCTTCGTGGCATGCTGGTGAGTGCTGAGGAACCGGCTGTGGTATTTGGGATTCAGCCGGCTACCTTAAAGCACCCATTGGTCTGTTTCTATCTGTTGTGGTTACTGTTTTTGGTGCTCAAACAGCTGCCTCTGCAGCCCCTCCAGACTCAACCCTGGGGCCACCACCAGCACCTGCAGGACAAGTCCCCAACTCACCTTGTCCACCTGCCACCCCCAGGGTGGGAGGTGCGATGAAAGACCCAAGGCAGGCGCTGGGGCCACTCTGCTGCTGGAGGGGTGGGAGCTGACACAGGTTTTGAAAGACAAAACCAAACCACCATATCGTAGGACTGTAGAGTTCCTGCTTCTTTGATTTGTATCTCTTTTATATTGACAATTTTGGTCCTGCATGGCATCATTAGTTATCTCACACACACACACACACACACACACACACACACACACACACACACACGGTTACACACACAGCTTTAATACAGTCAGACGTGCCCTGGCCAGGTGGCTCAGTTAGTGGGAGCATTGTCCCATACACCAGGAGGTTGTGGGTCCAATTCCCAGTCAGGACACATACCTAGGTTGCGCGTTCAATCCCTGATCAGGGTGTGTATAGGAGGCAACTGATTGATGTATCTCTCTCCCACACACATCTTTTCCTCTCTCTAAAACATATCCTTGGTATCCTTGGCTGAGGATTATTAAAATAAAAAACACATGCTACCACTGATGGGGAAGCTATGGGCTGGAGAAGCTCCCAGTGAGCTGGCGTCTGGCTTCTTTCCTCTGAGTCCTGTGTGAGGTCCATGCAGTGATCCCTTGTGTGGCATCCAGTTTGCCCTTTGCCCTTTTACCTCCATTTCCACTCTGTTGTTGCTGGCTTGGGCTGTTAGGGATCCTGCTGGTCTGGGAGCACTCTGTCTACCACACTCAGTCCAGCATGTCCCCATCCCCACGGTCACAGCTGCAACATGACACTTGTAATTCCCTGATGAATAGAAATTCTTCATTTTAATGTGATCCAGTTGTTAGCCACCTCCTTTGTGGTCAGTTCTTTCTATGGCCTGAAGAGAGACCTTCATTTGCCCTCCGTGTAAGTCTGCACTCAGCCTGGAACCCACGTTTAGGAATGGTAGATAGGAGGCCGCGTTCAGAGGTGCCGTGGGTCCAGAGCATCTGACTGCAGCGAGTATCTCTCCCTGAGGCCCCCCAGCCAGGCCTCCCCTCCAGGTGTCCGTGGGTGGGGTCCGATCATGCTCTACTCTGTCGTGCCTGGCCCACTGTCTCGATTTCTGCACTCAAAGCAGTCCTGCACGCACCCCATCTTCTTCTAGGGCAGGGGTCCTCAAACTTTTTAAACAGGGGGCCAGTTCACTGTCCCTCAGACCGTTGGAGGGCCGGACTATAGTTTAAAAAAAAAACTAGTCGGCTGCTAAGCAACAGGCAGCGGCGGCAAAAACACCCGGCGGGCCGGATGAATGTTTTCGGGAGGCCGCATGTGGCCTGCGGGCCGTAGTTTGAGGACCCCTGTTCTAGGGTGTCTTGCCTTTCCCGGCCCTCAGGGTCCCTCCGAGCTTCTCCAGCTCTCAGCAAGGAGGGTCAGTTTGAAAGTGCTCACCTGCCATTACTAGAAGCAGATCCCCTCTGTTTTCATAATTATGCTTTCATTATAGAAAAAAATAACTGAAAATATAAAACGAAAATCAGTCACAATTTTACCACCCACCAATAAGCACTGTTGGCATTTTGCAAAACGCCCTTCCAGCTTCACATGTAGATCGAGGTTTTTTGCTGCCACAGTGGACTCACTTTTACAAGCTGTTTTATGGCCTGCACTGGTTTTGTTTAGCAATGTGTCATGAACGTGCTCTTGTGTCCTCTATGCTCCCACCACCTCGTCAAGTGGAGATGAGATGAATGGAACACTGGGGAGCCAGCCCGTTTACTTGACTGGCTCGCTATACTGCACACTCCAGCTGCATCTAGCATTTCAGAATTAGAAATGACACCATCGTGTGCCTCTCTACACCTCAACCACATCCTCAAAATAAATTCCAAAAGGCGTTGTGTGGACGTAGTGTGCCGTTTCCAGTGTGAGTGTTGCTGCTCCGTGGCTGTCGGAGCACTTGCACTGGGACCGTCCCACTGAGCACATCTAAGGCTGCACCATCTGCACGGCTTTGGGGAGCATTGGGGACTCCCCCACATCTTTTCCAGTTTGGTGAGTGGAGCAACCCAGAGACGTCAGTGAGGCTGGCTGGGTCCTTGTCTCCTGGCATTCCCTCTAGGAGGCATTCATGTCTATCACTCTGGTCTCCATGATGTTAGCTTTTCATGCACTTTTGTGACCATTATAAAGAGGCCAGCCAACCCTCACATGTCAGAAATGCTTTCCCCAGCTAGTAACTCCTTTTTACTTTGCCTGCAGTTTGGTTTTACCTTGTAGAATTAAAACCCATCTGGGCAGGGATTGTGTTTGTCTTGTTCCTAGAACAGTATATGGCACATTCTTGCTGAGGGAGTGAACTTAGACTCTGTAGTCAGATCTGTCCATCTTTTCCTTTAGGGTTCCTGCCCCTGGTGTGGACTCAAAAAGTCCCTCCCATGCCAAGATTATATTGGCACATTATTTCCTGGTACAGTTTTGGTTTCATTTTCCTCAATTAATCTACCTAAAATATTTCATTGGATGTTATTAGATTGGGACTCATTTTCTGCCATATAATCCGTTTTCCCCTTATTCATTGGACCCTTCATATTCTGATTTTGAAGGCTGCCTTGACCATATAAACAGCCCTTGTTTTCATGCTTGGGCTCTTTCTGGGCGTTTGTGTGTTTCTCATCAGTCCACACTCTTCTAATTTGTGGTGTTATGTGTTACAGTCACTGTCTAGGGCAGTGGTTCTCAACCTTCTGTCCCTTTAAATACAGTTCTTCATGTTGTGACCCAACCATAAAATTATTTTCGTTGCTACTTCATAACTGTAATGTTGCTACTGTTATGAATCGTAATGTAAATATCTGATATGCAGGATGGTCTTAGGCGACCCCTGTGAAAGGGTCGTTCGACCGCCAAAGGGGTCGCGACCCACAGGTTGAGAACCGCTGGTCTAGGGGAATTAGTTTCATCCCTCATTTGTCCTCCTTTTTAAAAAAATTTTTTGCTATTCTCAAGTATTTAATTCTTCCAGTAAATTTTTGAATAATTTGGACAAATTCCTTCAAAAAAACACCATTGAGATTTCTCTTGAAATTGCATTGCAGTCATATGCCATATAATGACAGGGCTATACATTTGGGAAATGTGCCATGCTGTGATTTTGTCGTGTGAATATCAGACCACACCTGCACAAACTTAAGTGGTTCAGCCCACTACACACCTAGGCTGTGCAACTATAACACAATGTTATTTGTGTATCTAAACATAGAAAAGATACTATAAAAATACTATAAATATAAAAATACTTGGGGGAATACTACAAAAAATGAAAGTGGAAAAAAATATTAAAAATGGTATAACTGAATAGAGCACTTACCGTGAATGGAGATTGTAGGACTGCAAGTTGCTCTGGGTGAGTCAGTGGGTAGTGAGTGGACATGAGGGTCTGGGACATCACTGCACACAACTGTAGACTTTATAAACCCTGTACACTGAGGCTACACTCAATTTATAAAACATGATTTTAATCAAGCACAAGAGAAAATGATGACATCAAGGATGACACGGTAAACACAAGATATATGAGGATGCCGCTGATGTAACACAGCTGTTTTACAATAAACTGCTTTTTAATCATCAAAAGAGTACACGCTAAAACAATGATGAAAATTACGGTAAATACATAAACCAGTGACATAGTAGTTTATTAAGTACTACATACCTTACATAACTGTATTACTATACTTTTATATGACTGGTGGCAGGTTTGTTTACACCAGTATCACCGCAAACTCATGAGTAATGTGTTGTGCTAGGACATTATGACCACTACATCACTAGGTGATAAGAATTTTTCAGTTCTATTATAATCTCATAGGACCACTGTCATCTATGCGGTCTGTTGTTGATGGAAATGATATATGGCAATTAACTGTAAAATTACATATTAACTTGGGGGAATACTAACATCTTGACAACCTTCTCCTGCTGGTCATTGCTCATCTTAATTTTAGATTTATGTTCAATGTAAGGCTCAGTGGTTGACATCCTGTAGGCCCTGCACAGGGAAGCTGTCTCTTCTACGGGATGATCTGTAACTTGGCTGAACCTAGGGAAGGATGATGACTCTTGGCTTGAGAAAGAGAACCTTTATCATGTTAACAGTTTCTTTCTGATTCTAAGAAATATTATCAGAAATAACATGATGGACTTCAGCAAAGTTCTTTTGAGCATTTAGAGAAATGATCACTATTTTCCCTTTGACGTTGTGACAGTTATTGCTTTTATCACCTCCTAGGGTCAAACCATCCTTCCATTCCTAGAACAACCTTACTTGGTCACAGGATAATTTGTCTGCTTTTAGGCTTGAGTAGGAATATTTTAAAGTTATTTCGTTTAGTCATTTATAGCTGAGATTACTCTGTATAGGTTTTTCTTTGAATCTAACTTTGTTAGGTTTTGGTACCAAGTTTATAAAATGAATTGTCCAACTCCATACTTAATAATGATAATGCTCAACACTTTCTCCTGTGCTTGATTTTCAGCTAATAGTACTGGACCCACCGGTGAGTAGTTGGGTGCCCTGTGGCCCACAGCTTACCCACCTGGGTGGCAAGTGCCATGTTGTGGGGACCCCTCATGCCTCCCATAGCCCCTTGTAGAGTCAGCGTAGACTTGGACAGCACAGAATTTTCACATTACCTGTGTTGTGCTTCAAGCTTGTGTCAGCCAGCCCTGCTCCTGGTCCAGACTTCTATCTCTTCTCCCACCCACAGGTAGAAGAAAGCAAGAGTGAGTGGTCTGTTCCACACTGTTTTACTATTTATGCAGCTCAAAAAACAATCATGGTGGCAGCCAGGTAAGAGCCTTTCACATCTGCATCCCAGTGGGCCCTGCGAGCCCATGAGTAGGGGCTCCCCTGCCATGAGCCAGAGTTCCCTCCGAGTGATGAGAGAGTCATTCCCACAGTCAGGAGTGATGTGTGCCCCTTGAGCACTGCTTCTCCAGTGGTAGGGAGCCAGAGAACGTCTCCACAGACTGGCCATGGCACTGCCAAGCTGCTTCCTGCCCTTGACAAGAACAGACCTGCGAAGACTATCGGTCTCCAGGGGCACAAGCTCTTTGGCACACTCAAGTTAAGGGGCAGTGCCAGCGGGTTAGTGGGAGAACGACAGAGCGGCCAGGCTGGGGCCCTCCTCACCTGCATCCTAGCCCCTGGCTGTGCAGTGAGGCTGATGGGCCACAGCTCAGGGGCAAATGGCCACTTTCCCCTATTGGACATCAGATCAACAAAGGAGGGGCAGCCTGACCTCTATCGGCACCATGCTGTGCTGTCCCTCCCCTGGAGGAGCCAGGTGACTCCAGCCAGTTTCTCCCTCTCTCAGGCAGGCACCCACTAGCTCCCACCAGGAAATAATGATCCAGGAAGCAACCAATCTTGTATCTGAGACTTTAAACCCTGTTTAAGGAACAGACTACCCCGTAGAGAACTCCAGTCCACACCAAGGTGCTGCCCTCCCTCCTGCCCCTGGCAGCCCACAGAGGGACAGAACTCCAGTCCACACCAAGGTGCTGCCCTCCCTCCTCCTGCCCCTGGCAGCCCACAGAGGGATGCAGGCTGGGCCACCAGCAGCACTCTGGACCATCCTTTGAACCCTGAGACAGGCATCCCGCACTCCTGTCCCCTCTGAGAGATTGTGCGGGCCCTGAGGGCCAGCTCTGAGCCTCAGCCCTCCCTCCCGCCCCTGCCTCTCCCCACAGCACTGAGCTGGAAAAGGAGAAGTGGATGCATGACCTGAACAATGCCATTGAAGCGGCAAAGAGCGGTGGCAACATGACCCTGGCTCTGCCAGGCAGCGCGGTGTGCGTTCCTCCCCGCAGTGAGTTCTGGCCGAGACCCCCTGACTGAGGAAGCTTTCCTATAAGCCGGTTTCCTCGGTCACATCCTGCCCACTAAGCCCATGTGCTCTGATACAAGGTTCCAGGCGGAAGGGCAAGCTCTTCCGGCAGAAGCCCAGGTGGTTTTGCTCTTGGCCTGGGCACAGGGATAGCTCCCCTGCTCTCAGGGCTCCATTCGCCAGTGTGGTCCTGTCCCCTCTGAGCAGATGCCTGATTTCTCCCCCAGGACCCTCCGATGAAGTCTCCCTGGAGCAGGAGTCAGAAGATGATGCACATGGTCCCCACAGCTCCTCGGAGGGGCAGGGCCAGCACCGGGCCAACACCACGGTGCACGTGTGCTGGTACCGGAACACCAGTGTCTCCAGAGCTGACCACAGTGCAGCCGTTGAGGTACGAGGTGTAACTGGCACAAGCACCCTCTCGGCTTGTGCTTGCTGCGGGTAAGGGACCCTGGGGATCGCAGGCAGCAGGGCAGGACTGGGCCAGGCCACGGCGAGCTGCCTCCTGCTCTCTTCGGGCAGGAAATTGGTTTGGAAAAGTCCCCTCAGGCACAGCAGCCCAGGGTTTTTGCCAGAGCTGTGGAGTGACAGTCACCCTCAGGACTTGAGCAACCCAGTGAGGAAAACTCAGAGCCCCGTGTGCTGGGAAGACCAGGGAAACTGGTTGTCTCCAGAGTGCTCTCGAAAGGGCCTGTCTCCAGGAGCCCCCGCCCCCCCCTCACCAGTCAGGGGTGCCTGTGAACAGGAGTGTCCCCTGACTTGAGCAACTCAGCCATCTGTGCTGTCCTGTGGGTGCCGCTTGGGTGGTGAAGGCCGCAGATGTGCTCAGAACCCGTGTCCCTCAGGGTGAGGGCACAGGAAAGAAGTGTGGTACCAGCAGGAGGGAGGGAGGTGCAAAAGGAGGGGGCACTGCAGAGAGGGGTCAGCCCTGGGCCAGGGCTCCCAACTTATCAGCACAAGAGCGGCTCAGTCCTAAGGCTGCCCAGTGGATACCTGCTTGGGCTGGGGTTACATCCCTGCCCTCACCCAGCATGTGAAAGAACCTTCTAGACTTGGCTGCACATGGTCTATTACAGCATCCTCACTTCATGCTAGGCATTTGTCCCCCCCCCCCCCCCCCCCCCCCCCCCGGGGGCGGGGGGGGGGGGGGGGGGGGGGGGGGCTGGCTGTATTCTTGGGGAGCACACCTGCTCCCAGGAGATCCCAAGAGGATGGAGCCAGGGGGGTGATTGCTCTGATGGGCGGCAGTCTTGGGACCTTAACTAATGCACTTTTGCTTTTTCCTTTTAGAACCAGCTTTCAGGGTATCTGCTAAGAAAGTTCAAAAACAGTAATGGCTGGCAGAAGCTCTGGGTGGTCTTCACCAATTTCTGCTTGTTCTTCTACAAAACACATCAGGTAGGAGTGTTTACCAGGGCCCGGGGTAGCCTGCCCATGGTGCTAGAGGAGGGCCCACCATGCCCTTCTCTCTCACTTCAGAATCTCCTTACCCTCCCCCAGGGCCTCTGGGCCTGTGTGACCCTACTGCCACAGGAGGGGAGGGGAGAGGAGGGGAGGGGAGGAGAGGAGAGGTGGCTGGGGAATGCCCATGGAGCCGTGCTACCTTCTAGGATGACTATCCCCTGGCTAGCCTCCCGCTGCTGGGCTACAGTGTGAGCATCCCCAGGGAGGCTGACGGCATCCACAAGGAGCATGTCTTCAAGCTGCAGTTCAAATCTCATGTTTACTTCTTCCGGGCCGAGAGCAAGTACACATTTGGGAGGTAACTGTGTGGACTGCCTGGTTCCCCTGCTCCCGCTGGGGGCTGGAGGCAAGTTCCTGGTGTTGGGAAGAGGGCTGCGCATGGCTTTCTGGGTTTTCACTGGCCCTCGTCTTGTCCCATTCACTCCGTATCTTGGGAAGGTATTTGAGCACAAGCCCTGTCAGATGGCCAGAAAGTGCCCTGCTTCCCAAGCGGGCATCCTGGGCTTTCTGATGGGACAACCCCTTCTGCAGGTGGATGGAGGTGATTGAGAGAGCCAGCAGCTCGCCCGGGAAGGCTGGGGGCCCCGAGGAGGCATGAAGCCCATTCTGCCTGGATGAGGACAGCGCCCAGGAAGCAAAGCACAGTCAGCACAGGCCCCACGACTGCTCATCCCGAGTCTTCCCAACCATGGATCAGCTGTATGGGTGGGCCTCACTGTGACATCTGGGAAGGACACTGTCCTCCTGAAGACCCAGTGCAGTCCCCTGGCCCTGTGGGGCCCTGGCAAGAACACCAAAGTGAAAATGCAGGCCCAGCTCCAGGGTGGCCACCAAGCTGGTGCTCGCCTGCCCTCTCCTCTTCTAGAACAGGGCCCTGCTGAGAAAGGGCTTTGAGCAGGAACTAGGGTGGCCCCGAATCACTCACTGCTGTACACAGGCCTGGCTGCCCTGTCCTTCAGTCTGGGTCAACCAGGGGTGTGGCACAGGCCTCAGGTCACAGCTGCACAAAAGTCCAGCATAAGCCACTCTGGTGCCCACCCACATACCTCTGGAGAAGTGGAAACCAAAGTTCCTTATGGCCCTGGGAGGGCAAGGGCCTCTAATTTATTAGTACCCAGTATTTCTTAACGAGTGGAAGTAGACATGCACCTGCTTATGTGTGTGTGGCTGAAAATAAAGGGCATCTTTCTGCACCCGCCTGCTCAGTCTCGGGTCACTCCAAGGGGGAGACAGGGCTGTCGAGACCTTGCCTGGCTTAGATCCCCACCCACCACCAGTACGTCTTCATTTCAGGTCTTTATTGAAAGTGGCAGAAGCCTCTCAATGTCCTATGAAAACTAACACCTTAACCTCAGAGTATAAGGGGAAACAAGGAAGTTCGGTTTTCTTAAACAAAAAACATTCTGGCTGACACTCGTACTTATGAGAAGACACAGTACCCGATCCAACACCACAAGGCAAATGTACAACCACTGTGGGCCAACGTGGGCCCTGGGTGGGGGCGGGGGCCTGGTGAGTGGGGGAGAAGGCTCATCTGCCCAACAGCTTCCCCACCTTCAGTTCCAGTGGCTGCCATCCCGTGAGTCCAAGGAGGGGACGGCTCTGCCAAGGGGAGTTGAGGAGGCTGCACCTGCCGCCTCCAGGGCTGCACAATTCTCCATGAGTCTTTGCTGCCAGGTAACCTCAGCCAGGCCAGGAGGAAATGGAAGCAGACAGCCCTCAGCACAGGGTGGAGGGCCTTGTCCCACAAGGGGTTCCAAGTCAGCACAGTCCGTACAGAGCTCAAAACAAGACCCTTCTCTCCCCTCTGCACAAACAGCAGCGTTAGCGGGCAGACGGCAGGTGGTTTCTGTTGTGTGAAAACCTAGAGGAGAGAGGCCCTGTCACTACCCTGGCTCCAGTGCAGGCCCACAGGAAGCCACCAGGTGGCGTGGGCTGAGGTCAGCAACACAGAGCAGCCTGGGAGGGGATGGGGGCACCTCCCATTGTAGCCCACTATTGGCAGGAAACGCCACCCTCCTCTCTCCAGCCCTGAAGCTACAAAACAGAAAGGAAGAGAGACAGAGAGCCTCTTCCAAAGTGACCCCTATAGCCCGTCCTGGGGTCCCACCCCAGCTCCCCCTCACCTCTGCACCCGCTCCACCAGGTGAGCCATCAGCTTGTCAGAGATGCCGGGGCAGGACTCCTCGGCCAGGCTGAAGGCGTTCTCCAGCTCCTCCAGAGCCCCCACACCCCCGCCGCTCTGCCTGTGCTTCTCTTTGAGCTGTGGACAGACCACCATGCGCCTGGTCAGAGGCTCACGCTGAAGGCTTCTCAGGCTCTCTCCTGTGACTTGCATTTGGGGGCCCCACTCATGGTCCTTCCACCATACAGCCAGGATGGCTGGGTCCAACCAGGGGTTGCCCCCCTCAGAGTCTCAGGTCTTGGTTCTCAACAGGGGTGTCTCTGCCAGCCTCCCATGCTTTGGTAGACCCAGCTAACCACAGGACTTCCTCCCAACTGTAAGTGACACTCAGGCCTCAGGTCCAACGGACTTGAGAAAACAGCCCAGAAACTAATTCCCAGAGTGCTCTGCACAGCCGGACCGCCTGCTGACCCTCAGGGTGAGAGGGCACCAGTAGCCGCCCCTCAGCCTCCACGCTGCCCCAAGCTGTGGGAACCACTGACCTGGTAGGAGCCGTTAGGGGACAGGTCAGCATGGCCCTCCCTGCCACACCCTGACACCTGACACAAACGAGGAAGAGCCTGCATGTCTGCCAGTTCACCCCCACCAGGCAGCCCAGACCTCAGGCCCAGCTTACAGGATCAGGACCCCTAAGGGGTGCCCCTGCCAGCCTGGGTGGGGCTCTGCCTCCCCACTGGGCTCACTGTGGAGGCTGCAACAGCCTACAGATCCCCCCCATAAACACACACACACACACACACACACACACACACACACACACACGTGCTCCAAGCAGCTTGGGATATGGTAGTCCCGCCCTTCTCTCCAACACCTGTCAACTCCCCAGTTCCTACCCCACGTGGGGCCCAGCTTCTAATCCAAGTATTCAAGCTGAGCTCATAATTTCCCGCAGGGTCCATGACAACCAGCTCCATCCAACCTCCTCCCCTCGAATTCCAGGCTTCAGGGGCTAGAAGCGTGCCTGCCCTGCTCAGACGCCCCCACCTTCCTCGGGAAGACTCTGCTGCATCCTGTCCCCCTCCCTGGATTCCAGGTGCTGCCTTCACTCTGGGGTAGAAACTGGCCACTCTGGGGGCTCTCAGCTGCATCCTACTCCCATCAGCAGATGACACAGATACAGGATCAATCACCATGAAGCAAGAACTAGGCCTCAAGATGCTTCTGGTCATCCCGTATGTTTGCAGTTCAAAGCCATCCTGGGACCCCAGGCGGGACAAGGGCAGGCCAGGGAACTTGAGAGGGCCATGTTAGGGCAACCAGTCTCAGCTGTTCCTAGTCCTTCTGCTACAAAGCCTGGCCAAGAATTAAAGCACTGTGAACTCCAAAGGACCTGGAACCCTGTGTACTGGGCACTGCAGCCCCATGCCCCACAGAACCCCCAGTCTAGCCCTCACCTCTCCGAAGACAGGCCGGACCAGCGTGGACAGGCACTGGGACCGCGGCTGCCTCTTGACGGACTCCACAGTCTGCAAAAGCAAGGCCACAGCGAGGTGAACAGGGCAGAGAGGCAAGTGGATTCCCGGGGCAGGTGTGCTCCACCCTGGCCCCATTTCTAGCCTCCGTGAGAGATGCAGAATGTGAGAAGCACAAGGCACCCTCCCAGCACATGCAGGGCCAGGGCCTGGGGGACTGCACCTTCTGGGGGCCATGCAGGGCTGTCCCCTTGTGCAGCTTGCTGTGTGGGCTCGGCCGGATGGTTGGGGGGAACGTCCAGATGGGGCCCTGTTCTCCGTCCTCAGCATCTCCATCACTGCAGAGGAGAGTGAAGTCAAGAGGGCCCTGAGGGCCAGGATTCAGGGGGATCCCAAGCACACACCTCTCAGCACCCCCACCCCACTACTTTCCGAGGCATCCTCACGGCCCTAAATGCTGGGTAGGGCCTTGCTCAGACTGCAGGAGCCAGGTGACCACAAAGGTCCTCAGAAACCAGCACCCAAGTTCCCGCCCTGGAGCAGGGACCCCTTGCATGTCACAGCCCAGGGCAGACGCCCTGCGTGACAAGCAGGCCTACATGTCCGAGTCCTCGGAGCTTGACTCCTCGCCGTGCCCCTCAGACTTCCAGCGCTTGTAGCGGTCGATGAGCTCGGTCAGGAAGGAGGTCTTCCTGGTGTATCGTGTGATGAACTTGTGCTTCAGGAGCTCTTTGGCGGTGGGCCGCTGCAGGGCAATGGGCAGGCATCACTGGGTGAGGGCTGGCTGGGCTCATCCTTTAAACTCCTGGAGCTTGGACTCCAGCCAGCCAGGCTGGGAATGGGCCTGGCCATCAAGCTCTCTGACAGGACCGTGAGGGGTTCCGGGGGGAGGCAACCAGGAAGCTGGGGCTGGGCTCCACTATCTGCCCCGGGCCAAAACCCTCCAAGAGCTTCCCCAGACCCTGAATTAGGCGGGGCCTAGGGCCCTGTCACCTCCCATTCCCACCAGACCTTCCCAGAGGGCTGGAACTGTCCTAGCCCACCCCATGCAGCCAGGGGCCTGAAGCTTACGAAGCGGGGGTCCTTGTTAAGGCAGGCCTCCACAAACTCCTTGAAAGGCTTGCTGTGGTGGCCCTCCAGCGTGGGCGGGCTGTTCTTGGGGATCAGGAACAGGACGCGCATGGGGTGGAGGTCAGAGTTCGGAGGCTCACCCTTGGCCAGCTCGATGGCTGTGATCCCCAGCGACCAAATGTCGGCCTGGACAGAGCCACACAGGACAGTTGCCACCAGGGGCACCCTGAACCCTGCTGCAGCCACCCTCATGCCTGCCGTGCCCACCTTGAAGTCATAGGCTGACTGCTTGATGACTTCGGGTGCCATCCAGAAGGGGGTGCCCACAAATGTGTTCCTCTTGATCTGCGTGTCCGTGAGCTGCCCCGCCACCCCGAAGTCTGCCAGCTTCACGTCACCTTGCTCTGAGAGCAGCACGTTGGCAGCTGCCCAACACAGGACGGCAGGGCGTCACCCTTTGAGCCACACACACGCCCAGCCTATGTGCAGCTGCAAAAGACGCGCCTGCTGGCAGCCACCTGGTCTCCTGGGGACACCAGCAGAGCTGTCCCTGAGACCTCATCTTGTCTCTCCTCCATCCAGCAGGCTAGAGATGGGACCAATCTGTCCACCCTCAGACTCAAGGCCATGGGGCAGTATCAGCAAGCTAGGGGCCCACCGTGTGCAGCCCCCAGCCCCAAGCTCCAGGACCCTGCTATAGTTTGCCTTTTATGACAGATCCCAAAAACACAGCAATTGCCTTTTTCTCCCAACCGCCCAACAGGCAGAGCTTTCCCCTCACTCCACCAGTCTCCAGTCAGCCTCTTAGCCACATCCCTCCTAGGGACACTCAGTAGGGCCAGCCCACACCTGACACAAAGAAGTACACTTCTGGCTTAAATAGGGTCCCTTCTTACACTAGGCGCACAGTAGGTGTTTTTGCCATACAGAAATATGGTGCTAAGAAAGTTCTACCAGTTACTGGCTGTTTTCTGGCAACCGAGCTGATGGCTGTGCTCAGGATCCAGTGGGCACTGACTGGGTTACAAGGGTCCCCGCATCCCAGATGCCTGGCACCACCATCCACATGCCCATATCAACCTGCCACCCCATGCCCTGGTCTTTCTAGGGTCACGGAGCTCAGGGGCCCAGGCAGGAGCCATGCCCTGAGGGACCTTTGATGTCTCTGTGGATCTTGCGCTCCGAGTGCAGGTAGTCCAGGCCCTTCAGAATCTCCCTCAGGATCGTGGCGATGTAGGTCTCCTCCAGGGGGCCCGGTTTCAGCTGTGCACAGACGGACAGCAGGGCCTCAGACTCCCTCCACCAAGGCCAATCTGCCCTTCCTTCCACACCACCCCAGACTGTCACCAAGGCCCCGGCTCAACCGCCTCGCCACCAGGGGAGGGTGACCCTGTGCATAGTGGGGCTCCCTACTCCATTAACTACTTTGGAAATAAAATGAAGTTTCCGGTGTGGGTCAAGAGGCTGTTTTTAGAGAACATACAATACCTTCACCTTCACTGTAAAGGTAACAGATGAAAATGGG